GGAGCTTGTTCTTGCTAAGTAAAGACTGATTTTGGCAAATGATATACTCTCTAAAAAATAAAGGGTGGGTGAGTGTTCCTAGTACTTGTAAAAATAAGACTGAGTTTTGCAAACAATAAAAGTACCTTTTAAGAAAATAGAGGACGGGTGGGCCGGGCTTTTATTTGCTAAGATAATACTGATTTTGTTTTTTTTTTTGGTTTATTTACTAATGAAAAATAATAGCATGTTAAAAAAAATAAAAGGTGGATTTCAGTCGCTCTCATTACTAAGAAATCAGAAGGTAGGCCGGAGGTTGGTGCGTGCAGTATTGTCAATTTTGCTTCTAAAAAATTAGGTTTTTTTTCCTAACCTACATCATAAAGAATTTTTTTTTTATTTTTTTGGGACTCCCCAAACCTTCGTACATAATGTATTCGAGATTTAATCTGCCTTTTTCCAGAAACTTTGTATACACTTCCCTTATGCAAATTTTGACCCATTTTCGACGATTTTCGAAATTCAGCAAAATACATTTTCTTGTAGATTTCAGGCCGCACAAGTCACTTCCGGTCTCATTTCTTCGATAACTCCAATTGTTTTTCTAGTGAAATATCGCAATTTTTAAGAATTTCAAAAAACTCGAATTTCACACCCCGTGTTTCAAAAATATCGCTCCGTAACCATAAACACGCTATACTTTTGGAAGCAGCACGTCAAGATCTATAACTCGGAACAATGTATTACTCTATATTTTTTTAAATCAGCATGTCGAGATCTATAAGTCTGAATCTTTTGAGAATTTTTCGACAACTTTTTCACAAATGAAATTTTCCACTATGTCCCCACTTATGCAAATTTCGACCCATTTTCGACGATTTTCGAAATTTAAGTAACTTTCTTGTAGATTTCGGGTCGCAGAAGTCACTTCGGGTCTCAACCGCTTTTCTAGAATCGCTGATTGAAATATCGCAATTTTTAAAAAATTCCAAAAATTCGAATTTCACACCGAATTTTTCGAAATTGTTGCTCCGTGAACTATACACATTATATTTTTGCAAGCAGCACGTCAGGATCTATACTCTTGAATTTTTTGAGAATATTTTGACGACTTTTCAAAACTGAAATTTTCCAGTATGAATACTCGTTATGCAAATTTCGACCCATTTTCGACAATTTTCGAAATTTAACTAAATACATTTTCTTGTAGATTTCGGGCCGCAGAAGCCACTTCCGGCCTCATTTCTTGGATAACTCCAACCGTGTTACAGTGCTTTGAGTTTTGAGATAGGAGCTACCTTGAAGAAAAGCTTTGAAGTAGACAACTCCAGAAATCGTATTTGGCAACTAAATCGGAGAACCACCATTTTAGTAGCGTTGATGTGATACACAGGTCTTCGGTCGACTTCGGTTCCCGACGTTTTAGTACGTAGTGTGGTATAGTTTTGGAAATTTCATTCTACCCTATAAAATTTTATTGGCAATAATGAGACGGACAGTAGTACAATAGCAAGAGATATTTACAATTTAAGTTGTCGCGTGCCGGTAATCCCCAGATGTTAGAAAGTTACTCATCAAATTATAGATAACGTCATCAAATTTTGGGGGAAAAACAGAAAATTTTATAATTGGTCCAGAAACCATACAACCGATTATTAGAAAATTCTGCTTACATTTTGAGGTCGTTGAGATTAGAATTTCTTTGCTAATCTCTAAAAGCTTGACAACGTCATTTTTAAGTTTGGTAAATATTACTTGTTTGGCTTAAAAAATAAAGAATATATAAATCGATTTATCGAGAACAGTTCTGTTTATATATTTGTTGGTTTGTTCTTCATTTTTATATTTTACCGGTATTGAGTTTGTTATCTTTTACGAGAATTCTAAATACGACGGGAAGGAATAAGCGGGGTAAAAACAGTAAGTATAGTAGAATTCTTTTAATTTTGGCAAGGTGTTGTAAAACGGGATGTTTCCGTATCGGGCCCTAAAATGCTGAGAAGGGTGGACATTCTGTACCTACTGTAAATACAGTGTATTTAACGAAGACAGAAACAGATTTATTGATATTTTTAATAGGGACAAAAATTTTAGGTCTTCTTATGTTTTCTATGTCTTCTATGTCTTATTTAGATTTGTGAACAGCAATAAACTTAGCAATTCAGTATAAAAATGAGATATTTATGTCATCAAATAAAAAAAGACTTACTTTTTCTTGTATGGTAGACCATATTTCTCCGCGACTTCTTGTTTTCTGTTAATTTTGAATAAACACAAATTAACAAAAAGCCACTTCAAACTACAGTATATTGAAAACAAGCAAAATCTAGTAGAAAAACCTGAACAAACATTCTGCTTGTTAATTTACAGAAATTATTTTAATAACATTTTTACCCTGGCAACAAATAACTGACATTTTATATAGTTTCGTTTGCATTTTTTTATGACAATGGAAAAAGAAACAATTAATTAATTTTTTACATATTATTATTAATAGTAAAAATAATAATTATTTCATCATACATCTCTGGGACCTTTAGTTTAAAAAACTTTCGTCAACTACCAAAATTAGCGCCCTTTAAATTAAATTTATCAGTTAACTTTGCATCACTTTCTGATTTGCTTTCATACAGTATTTGCTTATTTTTCCTTAAAGGCGATAATAATTTTCCTATATTTATTTATTTTAGAAACCATAACTTTCTCAACATAAATACATAAACACTTAATCAGCAGGAATCACAAAAATGTGTACTGAAAAATGATTCTTCCATGCGAGTGCGACGTGTATACTACACCTTCCCAGCAACCCCGATTTGCAAGTCTAAATTTAATTTTCTAATAAATGACCGTAAAACAGTACAAAAATACTTTCTTACAATTTTTTTAACATTTGAGGAAACTTTATAAACAACTTTTAAAGCGTCTTTATTGAAACGAATCTAAAACTCATTCACTTTTGTGTGTAAGAAGCAGCTTTCCGAGCAAAAAAATCAATAAAATAAAAAGTACACCGTGTGCCAGCGATTTGGCGAAAACTTGAAACGGAAACAATTTGTCGCTATCGACAAATTCACTGTTACACTAATGATGAATGACCGGAATTTTCTGGCGTTTTGTCCAATTTTAAACTACATACTGGTCAAAGCTCCATTTTACGTACTTCGTTCATTTAATTTAGATTAGTTCTGCTTGAAATCAGTTGTAAACAAATCGGGAAGCTTTAAGCATTGTACAAATAAATTAGAGTTGTGGTTCCTAAAGGACATTGACCTCGTACTCACTCAAAAGAATTTTAGCCTCCCTTAATTAAACAACCGCCATACAATTAGTTTCAACGTAATACCCAACTAATCTTGGTTTGATTATATGCTTTGAGCTTTTACGATTTAACGCAGTGCGCCCTTGGGCTGATACACAAAGACTTTAAAGGGAAGGACATTCACAGATTTTGCTCAATTGATTGCTTCCTATAATATTAATAGGGTCTAAGGTACGACGTCGAATAATATGCTGAAAGCGGTAATAGTAATATGGATCAATAAATTGTTGTCTAAGAAATTATTTTAATTAAATCTTGAGACACTTGGATTTTTTAGTTCGCACTTCGCTTTCATCGAGAAAATTAATAACAATTTTGAGAAATTTAACGCTCCACTACTTACTTTAATTACCGTGAGATGAGTCACTAAATTTGTACTAACAGATGGAACATAAAAAAGTTTTGCTTTAGCTCAAAGTGAAAAGAAACAATTCGAGTTTGTGAAGTTTGTTCATTAAAACAACAATCTTGACCAACATGTTTCCCATCACGGTGAAATGGCTGTTTTTGTTCAGTTTGTTAATCTGAAGAAAAACTCTAATGTGAAAATATGAACTTCATTGTTTCTGAAAATGACTTGGTATCGTTTTGTGTCAAAAGCCACTCTTGACGGGAAATCACTTTCCACCGAGTGTCTGTCTTATCTATTAATAACTGATTAATTCCAAGTTGGAAACAGTGACATGAACTTTCCGGTGGATTATTATCCTTCGTCCTTTCAGAGTTTATCTATCCTGTTTGAATGATCGATTAGTCTTAATGAAGTGGGGGATCAGGCTGGGACTAGACACCTGATATTACTACCTGTTTTGACCTGTCATACTTTGTTTACGTCGTCAATTACTGAATAAGTACCTGAATGACAAACAATTTAGATATTTTATAAATTAAATAATTTGTGTTTAAAAAAATGTTTTGTTGCGCGTAATTAAAAGAAAATATTTTTCCAATATCTCACTTTTTCCGCTTCTTTTGTTGCCATAGTTTCACATCAAAAACTTTTTGAAGGACTATCGGTTAAAGCGATCCTGTCTCAGTTACGAACTTCAAACAGTCATTAAAAAGTAATAACAAACAAGAGCCATCACCGAAACTCGTAACATATGTCTTCTATGACAGTTCTCAAATATTTTTCAATTCAGAAATTAGTTTGATAAAAAATGGCCACAATACAGAAACTATAAGTCGTGGGGGCACTTTTCGTGATTACAACTTAATAAGGATTTAAGTAGTCTGGCGAAAGCCATTAAATCTTGTAAGATACTCTACTTACATTTGGTGTGCAGCTCCACACAAGAATTATTCGATTTTGGTGTCTTTTTACCGAACAGCTTAACGAGAAAGCATACTGAGTAAAAAGAATAATTGCTTTAGATTTATATCTTTTATCGTAAAAGCTTCCAAACCCCCAGTTTATTTGCCCTCGTAAAGTGGTACTAATGGATAAAATTTCCAAGAAGAGCAACTTTTTAATAGCATTGGTCCCTTTTAATTAGCCACCATAAAAATAAACTACGATTCTGCAACTCCACTACAGTGGTCATTACAGTTATGTTTGTATTTTATTCATTTGACAGAACTGGATTTACGAAATCAATTGTTTCCACTCTGTTTACCTTTAAAATTAAATTTGAACCTAGAGCGTTGATTTAGCAACAACACTTCAAGAACAGGCGTAAAAATAAAGTGTTATTTTTACCTTTTTGTCGACACGATATCGACTCGACTGTCTTTGACACAATCCTTGATACTGATTGGCGTTGGTGGAGGCGTTAAGCTGCTTCTTTAGTTGCTGTGAACTGTTCCAGAGGCATATGGCGATTCTTGAGTACAGCAGCTGAAATATAGAATTCAAGAAAATGTTAAAAGAAGGATAAAACGTTAAATTAGGTTTATGTCGTTCCAATGTATTTGGACAAAAACTGAAAGGACGTTTCATTGTTGTTTTACTAAACACTGACATTAACAAAAAAGACAGGAATTGGTTCTTGCACAAATGTTGTTTCGTGGGAACGTGACTTCCAGTGCAAGTCTCTACTTAGAAGGAAATGTGAGTATGAATGGAATGTTAAAGTTAGCTCTTGTTTGTTGTTCTGGAGGCGTGGAATATTAAAGCTACCGAAAACAGAAGAAGAATATTACTAACTGTATTACTTGCATTTATGTGACACTTCTTAGACATTTCAACAACTTAATTTTTTTATTTTTAAGTATATACTGTAATTTAACAAATCAAGAAAACAAAAATCTACACATAGGAAAAAATAAAAACGTATTAGTTTTAATAATAAACTTTTCTCTGTTAAAATCTTTGGTTTTTGGTCGAGTTCTCAGCTTAGCCATTTCCCTTGAGACTAAAATAAATGATAAGTAGTCTCGTCGGGTCAGTGTACGATGTTTTGTTGAGCAGATCCATGAAAGATGAGTTCTAATGAATTACTTTGCGGAAAAACGTGGTTCTTGTTTTTACAGAGTTTTTTTTTTCTAAAAATGAAAATGTATTACTAAAATTACTCAAATACTCGTATAAAGTCTAAATAAAAATTAAAATTTGACGACAGTTTTTTTCACTACCACTTATCCTGTTGTAAAGATGAAGGCTTTCAAAATGAGCACAGCTTTAAACTTCATCGTGGGTAAAACGTGAAGGATTTTTGTATCAACTGGTCTTATCTGGATTTAGAAATGTATGAGTCTGCACAATTTCTAGTCTTTGTCATTCTGTTTCTGTTTATTTATATTATATTCGATTTGTATATTGTCACGGAACTGCTAGTTGCCCTAGTTATGTAAAGATTGCCTCATGCCATGCTTGTGGGATGTCAGCAAAAACCTCTTTTTGCTGGCATTACGGAAGCTTAGGTGGGGGGCAGTGCGGACTGACGAAAGGGGGCAGTCGGTACTAACTAGGGACAGGGGGAAGGAAAAAAGTGAGAGAAGTGAAGTGACGCACCGTACCCCCTAAGGATGGAATTTGTAATGTAAGTTGAAATATATTTAGTTTATTTAATGTATTTGGGATTTTTATTCTTAACGTCGGATCGGGTAATTATCCTTAGCTCTACCAATCTCTCCCCCGACCCGGTCGTGACAATATATTTAATAAAATTTCGTTGTAAGCTGCATTTTTTTTTCGTTTTTTCTTAATTTCATTAAATTACATTTTTCTGTTATATTATCACATCATATTTTAGACATTATTCAAAATTTTGTCTTGGTTTTCTCATTATAATATAACTCTCTTAAAAAAAAAACATTCTGTTACTTCTACAAAATCTGCATTGAAATTTTCAACACGTGAGTTTTTTTTTTGTAATTAAAGGTTTTAAAGTCGATTATGAACTGAAACTCGCTTGCTGAAAATTTTGAAATACGTTGTGTGCAGGTAACAACAGAAAGTTTCTTTTAAACAAATTAAAGACATCAATACGATATCAACCTTAAATATATTCTGAACTATGACGAGATCAGTAGCAAGAAAAAATAATTTAAAAAAGTATCAATATTCAAGAAAAAATACTATTTACCATGAAAATTTACAAATTGGTTTAAAGTTATTTAGATCGAACTTCCCGAGCCTCTGAAGTACATTCGAACAAATATTCTTCTTCGAAAAAATAAAAAAATGCAAATTTTAATTCGTTTTTATGACAGTCTCTCTAAGTTCAACTAAAGATATGTGTGGACTGTTAAAGTAAGAATGCGGCAATTAAGCACGTAGCAAGCTGTTCGCACAGCCAGAGAATACTTACACAAAAATCACTCTGCAAAAACATACAAAAAAAAAATCGGGACTGTAGACAGACGGACAGACAGACAGACAGACAGACAAACGGAAACAGGAGACCCATTTCTTCGTACTCTAGGGGTCATGAAAGGTCGAGAAAATCACGGACTTCATTACAATACTTACTTAATTTTGCCTTTTTTTTAAGATACTTAGCTATCATAACGAGAAACTTAAAATATGGTTAAAATGGTTTATGCAAGGAAATATGGGTTTTGCGATTATGGGGCGGAGCCTAATTGCAAAATCGATATTTCCTAATACAAATTTTCCGTTTTAAACATGTTTTAAGTTTCTTGTGAAAAGAAGTCTACAGATATTAAAACAAAAAGGCAAAATATAAACCCCGCCCACCCACCACATCTCAATTGTGATGATTTCTTTTATTTTTAGACATTTAAAACACGTTTAAAATGGCAAATTTTTGTAGACAAATATCGATCTATCAATTAAGAATTTAGATCTTCGGCTTTATTTTTTCTTAATATACACAGTATTCTTTGACCAGCACGATACTCGAAAACATGTTATTAACTTCTCGTAGAGAAATAAGGATTTTGCAGTTAAGCTCCGTCCCTTTGACTCACATTGAAAAAGAGAGGAAAGTAAATTTTGATAACGTCATTGAATATTTTGCACAAATAAAGACCCGTAAACACCTTTAGTATTTGTTGTTTTGTTGTTTTATTATTTAGGGGGGGGGGTACAGCTACGCCGCCACTGTATTTTGGATATGTAGCTTTTATTGTGATAATACTTATTTCATTAATATTAAATATAGGCGGGCGCAACAATACCCTATTTATTTTCAAATTTTCGAGAAAATGGGGTGAATTGTTCTCGATTTGATCAATAATAAAACGATCTAAATTTACAGAACTTTCTCGTCTGAATTTTATTTTTTTATGAAAACCCCTATAAATTAAAATAAAGACATGTGTGGAGTGTTAAAGTGCAGGTAAAGAAACATGCTATGAGTATTGGTGTTAGTGAGATGTTAGCTAAGATTCTAGATGCCAAAATTCTAGAAAGTGTCAAATTTTTGAATTCTATGATCCAGAATTCTTTATGTGTTATATATTTTCAGTTCTACGTTTTAGTTTTGAAATTCTAAGCTTCTAATTACAAGATTCTAGATTTTAGAATCCTAGATTCTAAGATTCTAGATTACGAGTTTCTAGATTCCAAGATTCTAGATCCCAAGCTTCTAAATTCCAAGATGCTGGATCAGAGGATTCTAGATTCCGAAATTCTAAGTTCAGAGATCCTATATTTCCAGATTAAAAGATTCTAGATTCCAAGAACTTAGATTCCAGGATTCTATATTCCAAAATTCTAGATTCCAAGATTCTAGATTCCAAGATTCAGAGTTCCGTGATTCTAAATTCCAAGATTCCAAGATTCTAAATTCGAAAATTCTAAATTGTTGAACTTCTACGGTTCTACCGTTTTGAATTATCAGATCCAGAATTAAAGAAAGTACATCTTAAACCCAAAGTTCATGAATTCCATGATCCAAATTTTTAATATATACTATATTTTAAGCTCCAAGTTTTAGTTTTGAAATTCTAAGATTGAAAATAGATCCTAAGATTCTGGATTTCAAGATTATAGATTCCAAAATTCTAGATTCCAACATTCTAGATTTCAAGATTCTACATTCCAAGATTCTGGCTTCAGAAGTTCTAGGTTCCGAGATTCTAGACTTCAAGACTCTAGACCACAAGATTCTAGATTCCGAGGTTCTAGATTCTAAGATTCTAAGTTCAAAAATTTTAGATTTCCAGATTAAAAGATTGTAAAATCCAAAATTCCAGGATTCTAGATTTCAAGATTCTAGCTTTCAGGACTGAATTATGGATCTCAAGATTCTAAATTTCAAGAATTTAGATCACATGATTCTAGACTCCGAGATTCTAAGTTCAGAGGATCCTATATTTCTAGATTAAAAGATTCTAGATTCCAAGAATTTAGGTTCCAGGATTCTAGATTTCAAGATTGAATAATAGATCCCAAGATTCTAAATTTCAAGATTCTTGATCACAGGATTCTAGATTCCGTGATTCTAAGTTCAGGGATCCGCTATTTCCAGATTAAAAGATTGTAAATTCGGTGTAATTAAACACTTTGCATGCTATGAGTATGTTTCAAGTGAGTAATCACGTCATCAACATTTTAGCAAGCACACCTACTTATATAAATCTGAATAGATGCAATGTAATAGTAGTAATAACAGTATTGTACACTCAAATTAATTAATGTAATATGTTGATATGATATGTTTTAGATTTTGTTCCAAAAATCTGCATGTCAATGGTAAAATCTCACCACGGATTCATAAATCACAAATGTAGGGGTATGGTATTTTATAAAATTTAAATACGATTTACTATTGGAGATGACGTCATCGGTTTTGGTGGGGACGTTTAGTCAAAAAGCGACACTGACAGACATACAGAGAGACGGAAACGGGAGACCAATTTTTTCGTAATATGGGGGGGGAGGGGGCATGATAAACTCGATTACTACACTTCCTTAGGTTACGCTCGAGGAACAAAATTGTGGCCCATGAGTTAATCGAACTAGCGACCTTCAGGTTAATAATTCAACATTTTTACGGCCCGACCGTCGAGATTACAATACGTCAATGGTCTTACAGTGGTATAAAATGTGACGACACAAATGTTTGTTTTTTTTTTGCGAAAATCTGGTTGCCTAGGGTAAAAAATCAACACGGATTCATCAATCACAAGTACAAGGATATCTTATTTTATGAAATTAAAATCGAGTTTAGGAGAGGATGTCATCAAATTTTTGGGGGGATCCAAATTTTGATTTGGCGTTTAACCATTTACACGATAGTCCTAACATACAAAATTTGACAACAATCGGTCCAGTAGTTTCGAAAATTATTTGTCTAATAAAAATCGACAGAAAGGCAGACAGAAACTGGGGCTTTATCTGTTCGTATTCTAGGGGTCAAAAAAGTCCGAGAAATCATGAAATAGCCAGTCGCCCCATAGAACTTGGTTATAATACTTTCTTAGATTATTTTCTAGTTTACTAACTACAAATTATTTATTATATATAATAGTTACTTTTTCTTTTTAGCGTCTTTTTGTAGTGACTATTTTATAAATAGCCTCGAAAAAATATTACATTTTCGTTGAGCATAAGCTAAGGAAGTATTGTAAGGGGACCTATCGGATGACTGACTACTTTAATGTTTTTTCGACGTTTTATAACCCCTAGAGGACGAAACAATAGGTGCCCGTTTCCCTCTATTTGTTGACTGTGCCGACGTTTATTAGGCAGATAATCTCCGAAACTACTGGACGGATTGTTGTAAAATTTTGTGTATGTTTTGGGAATATCATGTAGATGGTAAAACGCTCACCAGAATTTGGCTAATCATCTCCACCAATAATTTGATGACATCATCTCAAAAGTTTCTACATTAAAATGATTTAAATGATATACAATAATGTAGTCCTACATTTGTGGTGTATGGATCCGTTCTGAGATTTTACCTCAGTTTCGTCTAGGTTTCCAAATTTTCGCAAAAAAATCATAGAGCATAACCCTTTACGAGCAACTTTCTTTTCTTTTTTATCTTACACTGTAACTAGTACCGGGTGATTTTTTAATTTCTGATATAGTTTTCGTCACCAAATTGCGTAGGTCGTATCTTGGAACATACAACGTGTTTTGTGACAAGCTCGCGTTTTAACATAATCTGAACTGTTTTTTACCAAAAAATTCTTGGAGGAGTAGATCAGAAATTAAAAAAAAACACCCGACATTATTGTTTTAGAGAAAATTGTGTTAAAATAAGTATGTAGAAAATAGTTTTTTCACGTTGTACTAATATTTTCATCATCATCATTACTATTGTCTAAACATTTGTATCAACCTTTGATCACCTTTTTGTTGTTTTATTAAAATTTTATTTTAGTCTAGAGCTTTTACTAATATTTTATGTCTAGTAGGCCACGGATTGTTAAGATCATTTGGTACTTCTTGCGCATCATTGCGCACTCCCCTTAACCTAAAATTCCAAAACGTCAAATATCAAATGTAAGAGTGAAACACTTGTATCCAAACTTATTGTAGTAATAACATTCGAATAAAATAACAACAAACTTTGAAAATGCTATCCCCAAAGAGCTAAAGACAGATTGTCCATTATATTGTAACTAACGTCAAACTTAAAATTGAAGTTGGTAATCTGTCAGTAACACCAACCTATTAATTGACTTTTATAGTGTTTTTACTTCCCGAGCGTAAGCAAAGGAAGTATTGTAATCGAGTCCGTCGGCCGACTCTCTACTTTTACGTTTTCTCGATCTTTCATGACCCCTAGAAGACGAAGAAATAGGTCTCCCATTTCCGTCTGTCTGTCCGTCTGTCTGTCTGTCCGTCCGTCTGTCCGTCTGTCCGTCTGTTGTCCCGGATTTTTATTAGACAGATAATCTCCGAAAGTACTCGACCGATTGTTGTGAAATTTCGTACTTATATTAAGAATATCATGTAGATGGTAAAACGCTAACCAAAATTTGTCTAATCATCCCCACCACTAATGCGATGACGTCACTTCAAAATTGTGCATAGTAAATGGGTTTTCAATTGTATAAAATAACATAGTCCTACACATGTAGTTTACAACTCTGAATCGACTTTTCACCCGAAACGTCCAGATTTTTGGAAAAAAAATCAAAATTATAAAACAACATTTTGAAATTTAATTTTTAATCTGCTAACCAGAATGCTTTGAAATGTTGCAGATGTTTTAAGGCTATAAAGAGCATCATAAATCTTTAGTCAAAAAATATTTGCTTATCCCCTCCAAAAACTTGATGACGTCAGCTCAAAAGTTTGTGGAATAAATCATATCTAAAATGTACAAAATATGATGAGTCTGTACTTGTGATCTATCACTCCATTCATATTTTTTGGATTTGCATATACAGGGTGACTCAAAAAAATTAATGAATGCGTAAATATATTTTATTGATTTAATCAGGAACTACAAAACCGAATGCTCTGAAATCTTGCAGATGTTTTAAGGTCATAAAGAGCATAATAAATGTTTAGTCAAAATATATTTGCTTATCCCCTCCAAAAACTTGATGACGTCAGCTCGAAAGTTTGCCGAATAAATCATATCTAAAATGTCCAAAATATGATGAGCCTGTACTTGTCATTTATCACTCCATTCATATTTTTTGGATTTGCATATACAGAGTGACTCAAAAAAATTAATGAATGCGTAAATATATTTTATTGATTTAATCAGGAACTACAAAACGGAATGCTCTGATATCTTGCAGATGTTTTAAGGTTATAAAGAGCATAATAAATGTTTAGTCAAAATATATTTGCTTACCCCCTCCAAAAACTTGATGACGTCAGCTCGAAAATTTGCCGAATAAATCATATCTAAAATGTACAAAATATGATCAGTCTGTACTTGTGATCTATTACTCCATTCATATTTTTTGGATTTACATATACAGGGTGATTCAAGAAAATAAATGAAAGCGTAAATTTATTTTACTGATATACTCAGGAACAACAAAACCGAATGCTTCGAAATCTTGAAGATATTTTAAAATTATCATAAGCATGGTAAATTTTTGATCAAAACGTATTTGGTCGTCCCCCCTAAAAAATTTATGACGTCACCACAAAATGTTGCTGAATAAATCCTATCTAAAATGTACAAAATATGGTGAGTCTCTTCTTGTGGTTTATCATTCCATTCAAATTTTTTCGATTTGCATATACAGGGTGACTCAAAAAAATTAATGAATGCGTAAATTTATTTTATTGATTTAATCAGGAACTACAAAACCGAATGCTTTGAAATCTTGCAGATGTTTTAAGGTTATAAAGAGCATAATAAATTTTTAGTCAAAATATATTTGGTAATCTTCTACAAAAAACTGATGACGTCAGCTCAAAAGTTTGCCGAATAAATCGTATCTAAAATGTACAAAATATGATGAGTCTGTACTTGTGATTTATCATTCCATTCATATTTTTGGATTTGCATATGCAGGGTGACTCAAAAAAATTAATGAAGGCGTGAATTTATTTTATCGATTTAATCAGGAATTACAAAACCGAATGCTTTGAAATCTTGGGAATATTTTAAAGTTATTATAACCATGGTAAACTTTTGTTCAAAATGTATTTGTTCATCCCTCCTAAAAAAATTGATGACGTCACCCTTAAATTTTGCTGAATAAATCCTATCTAAAATGCAAAAAATATGATGAGTTTGTACTTGTGATTTATCATTCCATTCATATTTTTCAGATTTTCTTAAAAGGTGGTTCAAAAAAATTAATGAAGTCAATTTATTTTATTGATTAAATTAAAGGCAACACTTATTATTAGTATTACACCCCAACCAACCCAGTTTGGTAGACACAAAATTTGTTAAAGGAAAAACTCGGTTGAAACATAAGGGTAGCACACTTATTTACATCGACTTTAACATTACAGACCTGCATTTGTTTTATGCGTTCACTTGGTTCCGCGAATGTGAAATAGACATGTTTATAATCAACCAATTGTGAATTTCACCGTCAAGAATTAAAATAAAACCCAATGTTTTATATAATAAGCGGAAGTCGAAGCAATAAAACCGATGGTCGTTTTGTTTACAGTTTCTCTGTTTGACTCTCACGTATGCTGTTACGCCTGTCATCTTAAATTAAGAATGTTTATACATACACGATTTTCAGTTGCCTCTGATACGTATACGTGAGTAAATTGTTTCGTTATTTTATTGATTATTACAAATCAATATTCAAAACGACCCAATTCATTTTCCCGAAAATTTGAGAATATAATAATTTTATTCTTAGTATTACACTACATCTATCCCAACTGATATACGTGTCCTTGCAAAAATGTTGATGACGTCATCGCAATTTTTTTTTTAAATTCCCACTACAAAAATGTAATGAGAAAAAAAAACACAATAGGCATGCAGTCGTCAAGTTTCCGACAGCGAGGGAAGTACTGTCTAAACTCTTTAGACCAATTTTTTATTACTCTCTCGGTAGTACTTATATATATTATTAGAAAGGAAAAACAACGCTCGACCATTTTTTTTTTATTGAAAAAAAGCAACAACATTTACCAATAGCTGAGTAGGAAAAACTATTTTTTCTTACAACTACGTTTAGCATTACTCTACTGTAATTTGATTATTGTTATATATAAATATATAGACCATGTTTCTATGGTTACACTTATCTAAAAATAAAAGTATTTACATCAAAGCTTTGTTATGAATTCTGGGTTACTGCAATCATAAAATAACAACGACTAGTCGTTTGTTCGTACGTAGCTTTTTGTCAGTACAAATTTTCAGTAAACCACAATGAAACATCCTGTATTAGGTTAGGTACTTAAAAGACTTCCTACTGCATGAGTGCAACTTACCGACATGATGATCAGAGGGATGTTGTAAAATAACACAAAGTGAATGACGTCGAAAAGTTCCGAATTGTATTTCTTCCTGTTGGGAATGCACATTGTTTCGTTGACGTTATTAACGTTTACAGTAATGGCGTCACTCCAATAGAATTTCGGAGAGCTGTAGAGGATGCAAGTTATCCAAACCCCCAGAATGATAAACTGTAACAAACAAAGCTGTTTTAGTACAACGATAATTAGAAAACATGTGTGCTTATAAAAGATTAACTTATAGCATAACTGAACTTTTTAAATAGCTACTATACTGTTAGTAGGCGGTTTTTTACGAAAAAATAAAAATGTACGACCATAAAATAGTTATTTGTATAATTAGATCAATAAATATTTCTTCAAAGCATATACAAAATGATGTTTAATAAATTCAGTACGAAACTATTTTGAGCTCATTAACTATTTCACTACTTGAATGATTAGAGTCAAAAGTTGTGCAGTGGATTATACATCTTTGTTATAAGTATAACGTGGAAAATTTTCAGATTCTACGAAACTCTTTTCTCGGTGTAATTTGGTCCGAAAACCTCCTGCCGAATGCATTTGGCGCTTTCACTCCATGCCTTAATTTGTTAATCCGTACATCAACCTGGAAGGCCAACGGCTGTTTTATTAATAAATGTCTCCCTTTACATCGACTTTATGTAAATAATGGATGTTAAAACAGCTAACGGCATGTGAGGTAATTCATTAATATCCCATTTCATGCGATTTACGACGTGCAAGAATACATTTCCCAGCGACCGTATTCGTTTCATGTAAACGGAAATCTCACTTTGTGAAAGTGTTAAAGTTGAGTTATAGGTCTTCCATCAGGAATAAACATTCATGAGCTTGAATAAAAAAATTATTTGAATACTGAAGGAGTTTTCCGAGTTGTTTCCCGTTATCTGCTTCAGCACTGAGGGTTATTTTCCCGGAAAATATGAAACGTCTGAATAAGTAAACATGCAAAGTTGTAGTAAGAAACGCGTCATCGTTGACGTAAATTCTTCCTTACTAATTTTTTTGTAGTAGTAAGGGCTCAAGTTTCCGGGCGTTTGATTAAAACGGTGCAATTTTTCATGCAAATTGGGGGATTATGTTGCAATTTATTTTTGCACACAAGTTAAAATTTTGATGATTTCGTCGGCGTGGTGAGTTAAATGCGTAAAAGTTAATTGTTGTATAATGAAACAATATTTGGTCTCTTTTGATTAATGTTATACATATTATGTATGTAAATTTTCTGGGTTTCCTATTGTAATAAATTTTGTTTCACACATATGTAGTAAATTCTGGGAGTTTCCTATGTGTAATAAATTTTGTTTGTCATAGTAGTGGTGGTAGTATGAGGAATTAAATTCATGCAGCATTTTGGATGTTGGGGATGATTCAGTTGTTTGTTCTGTTTTGCCAGCAGTTAATTTGTTATAAAAAGTGTTCGATTTTATTTTTACTTACTAAAAAAGTCTGGTTTAGAGTAGGCAATGAGGATATATTTATTTTTTCAAGTGTTATCACGAGTAATATTTTGTGGCGGCGTAAGCCTCGTTTACATTTAAATTAGCGAACGCAACAGTTAAATATAAAATTAAAATACACAGTTGGTTATGGAGCTATTCATAACGAAAATTAGCTGAATACATTCAACGTATTATTTCTGTACCCACTTTTAGAGACACATTAAAACACAGTTATTAAAGCGTGAAAAATATTCGTTGGTGAAATAGCTAAAATGAAATTAAAAATTAATTAAATTTATACGACAGAGGCGCTTTTATCAGACCGAAAAAAAAAACTATAAACCGGTCTCCAAAAAAACGGAGTCCAAAGTAAATGTTTGTATACGTATACGTATTTGCATACCTCGTTCTAGATGTTTTCTAAAGATAAACACTTCAAGTTATAATTGCTGAGAGGTCATTTTTCCATAAACTAAGGAATTATAGGAATCGTTTGAGAGTTAGAATTAAGCAAATGTGAATTTTACTTAATAAGAGTGATTCGGTTATTGCAAGGAAAGTTTTGTCGAAATTGTGGTATAAAAATATGTACATCTAATTTTTTTTTTTTTTTTCTCTCTTTATGGAAAAAAGCCACTGTGGTATAATTTAAAGTTGATTTTGAATTACGAGAGGGCTAGCGACGTAATTTATTATCTCTACAAACGAAAATCTGTCCCGTAGGACCAATCACAGTTCTTTGGAAATGCGCCAAACCACGACATTATATTGTGGCAAAAGTTACTTACTAACACTGCAAAGCTCATTCGGTTGCCCTCAACCGTGACTTAATTTGGTATCAACGGGCACAAACTAATGAATACAAATACAAACCAACGAGAGATAAAACTGGGTGAAACAGTATCTTATTTTTAATTTTTGTGACTTAATTTTCCATGTTTATATTAAAAAAAAATGTACACTCTTTTAAAAAACCTACTCCACATTTGGCTGAGTCAGTTTGTTTAAATACCATGGAACCATCATTAGCAAATATTCTTTCCAGTTATTATACCGTGATAGTTGGCACACTGGAGCATCGCGCTGCCTTAATCGAGACGGCAGGAAGTTCGGCTTTTTATTTAACGATATCATTAATTCTCTCTAAATGAATCATTTTGGCATCGTTTTTCGTCAGAAATGTATCCGACATCCTCTTGATTAACTTTTGATGAAAAAATCATTCTTTTACCCGCTTCATCTTCACACTGTAACATATAACTGAAAGTCTGGCAAATTTCATTTCTGAAGCTGATCGTGCCACGGAGTCTACTATAGCAGAATTTAATTGAATAATATGTGTGTGCGTTTTTAATCAAAATATAATCTTTATGTTTTTATGCAATTATTATCAATCCGTCTCTATTTGTTATCCTAGACATCCAGATTTTTTCGAGAAAAAATGTCCTCTCAATAGTAATAGCATGGTTAACTTAGAGTGTTTATGTTTAAAAACTTGAGTAGCGTGTTCAGATACCAAGCATCAGCGGTCGCATCCATTTGTGTTAAAGGAAAATGAAATTTAATTGATTTTGTCCCCTTAAAGCAGAGGAGAGGACTAGGAATTACTTGATTAATTAATTAAGCTGCAATGGGGAAAAACGGTTCGAACATTATTTTTATTAAATATAGGTGGGTATGACATTATTGCAATTTTCGAGAAAATGGAGTGAATCATTCCTGATTTGATAAAAAAAAAATTGAAATGCTGTGAGCTTCAACTTTAAAAAAAATTTAAACAATAACAATTATAATAGTAAACAAAAACAGGGCAGATTTATAAAGCACAATTGCAGGAGTATCTACATTTTCTTTTGAAATTTAAGTTATGCTTATTGTACAAAATGTTGAGAGGTTGCGATCACGTTGTTGAGGGACAATTAGAAAAATTTTGGTTAGTGTTTTACCATCTACATGAATTTTTTAATTATAATATAAAATTTGACAACAATCGGTCCAGTAGTTGAAGATTATCTGTCTAATAAAAATCTGGGTAGACGGCAGACAGACAGGCAGACAGACGGAGACGGGAAACCTATATTTTCGTACTCTAGAGGTCACGAAATGTCGAGAAAACATGAAAATAGCTAGTCGCTCGATAAACTCGATTATAATGCTTCTTTAGCTTGTGCCGGGGACGTAGAAAGAAATGAAAACGAAATCAAGGTACCTGACTAAACGGGGCAGTTTTGAATCCTGGGGAGGCGGCGACGCTGCAATGGAGACGGTACGCCGAAAGGTACAGTTTTTGATTTTTTTTCAAGTCAACGCTTGAAGAGGAACAATGAATAGGCACGAAAATGACGAAAGACGAAAAGGACGAAGGACGCAAAGGACGAAGGACGAAGGACAAAGAATGAAGGACGAAAAGGACGAATGACGAAAAAAGGACGAAAGATGAAAAAAGGACGAAGGACGAAAAAGACGAAGGACGAAAAGGACGAAGGACGAAAGAGACGAAGGACGAAGGACGAAAAAGGATGAAGGACGAAAAGGACGAAGGACGAAAAGGACGAAGGACGAAGGACGAAAAGGTCGAAGGACGAAAAGGACGGAGGACGAAAAGGACGAAGGACGAAAAGGACGAAGAACGAAAAAGATGAAGGACGAAAAGGACGAAAGATGAAAAAAGGACAAAGGACGAAAAAGATGAAGGATGAAAAGAACGAAAAAGGACGAAGGACGAAAAGGACGAAGGGCGAAAAGGACGAAGGATGAAGCACGAAAAGGACGAAGGACGAAAAAGGACGAAGAACGAAAATGACGAAGGACGCAAAGTGCGAAGGACGAAAAGAACGAAGGATGCAAAGTACAAAGGACGAAAAGGACGAAGGGCTAAAAGGACGAAGGACGAAGGATGAAAAGGACGAAGGACGAAAATGACGAAGGATGCAAAGTACGAAGGACGAAAAGGACGAAGGACAAAAAAGACGAAGGACCAAAAAAAGGACGAAGGACCAAAAAGAAGAAGAACGAAAAGGGCGAAGGACGAAAAGGACGAAAGACGAAAAGGACGAAGGACAAAAAAAGGACGAAGGACGAAAAGGATGAAAAACGAAAAGGACGAAAAGGACGAAGGACGAAAAAGGACGAAGGACAAAAGAGGACGAAGGACGAAAAAGAACGAAGGACGAAAAGGAAAATGGACGAAAAGGAAGAAGAACGATAAAGGACGAAGAACGAAAATGACGAAGGACGAAAAGAACGAAGGACGAAAAGGGACAAAGGACGAAAAGAACGAAGGACGAAAAGGACGAAGGACGAAGGACGAAAAGGACGAAGGATGAAGGACGAAGAGGACGAGGGACGAAGGATGAAGGACGAAAAGGACGAATGACGAAAAAAGGACGAAAGATAAAAAAAGGACGAAGGACGAAAAGAACGAAGGATTAAAGAGACGAAGATCGAAGGACGAAAAAGGACGAAGGACGAAGGATGAAAAGGATGAAGGACGAAAAAGGACGAAGAGCGAAAATGATTAAGGACGCAAAGTAGGAAGGACGAAGAGAACGAAGGACGAAAAAGACGTAGGACGAAAAGGACGAAGAACGAAAAGGACGAAGGACGAAAAGGACAAAAGCTGAAGGACGAAGAGCACGAAGGACGAAAAGGACGAAGGACAAAAAGGACGAAGGACGAAAGAGACGAAAGACGAAGGACGAAAAA